GGAAATGATTTTTATTCGTTGAAATGTTTCTGAATCATTTTTTTTAACATGCCAAGAAAGCAATTTTTAAAAGAACACACAGTAATTCATCACGATTTATTTTTTAACAACATTCTCAAGTATTCACGTCTGACCCAGATTCATCAGGAATGCTAGTGAATACAACTGCTTAACTGTAGATAACTAAGCGTTTTAACGAGTTTGGAAAATCAAAAATGCTTTTTTTTCTCTAGAGGTTGCTTATCAGCAAATCATCAGACCGAATTTGCTACAAACTCTCACAAGCCTTTCAATATATGTAGAATTAGAATGGTATTACGTTGGGTCCCACAATCAACTGCATAGTCAAAACAAAGATATTTCTCTTCTTAGATTTATGGTTGAGTACAAGGCTAAAATCCCCGAATAAATTTTGCACTTAACACATTCATTTAGGCTCTAATGAATGTTTTTTAATAACCTGCCTTCCGTTAGCAGTTTTGTATTAACTTTTTATCAATTCTTAATTGTAACAGGTTCTGATGTTTAAAAATATTACAGTCTGAAGTAGAAAGTGAAGTATTTGAATACAGCAACATCGTGTCTATCGAAGGAGAGCTCTTCCCTAATAACAAAATAAAAAGATGGCCTCTTGAATGTAAAATATGAACAAATGGACCAAGTAACTTTCGCAGGTAATAATCAACAGCTGCTTTAAATTTTACAGACACAACAACCGCTAAAATTATCACTAACTTCATTTGTTTGTCATGACAATAAATGCTCTATACATGTTGGCTTTTATTTCTAAACATAACAAAATATTTCTACATCATTTCAAGTTACATTATATCAGTATTTTACAAAATTACATTCTATTCAAGTGTTATTGACAGTTATTGTGAACTATGCAATAATTAGGTATCCTTGAAGATGTAATCAGACTATTATTAATTATGCAATGAAACTGTTGAAATCCAATCATTTTTGTAAAAGCCTCCTGGTTTTTATGACCACTTTAATCTACACAAATAGCCTAGATAACAGAGACTTGGATGGGGAAACAATTGATTCTTTATAAGTTTAATTTACAGATGAAACTAATCAAACACAAATGGATATTTTGCTGTATGACTTATATATTTAATTATTAATGGAAATGATTGTTATCATGATACATAAACTTACGATAATTCATTCTGTTATCAAAAGCTGAAAAAACAAGATTGCTATATACTGCTTTAGTAAAATTTACAATACCCAACAGTCAGTTTATATGATATATACAGCATAATATATACTTCATATAAAAGTATAATATGTATATATAAGGATTTATTTGAATGATAAAACTTCCGTCGTATATTTATCAGTTGCTTTTATAAGTAATGTATTATTTGTCTTTATTTTTTCATTGAAGTCTAAATACAGAAACAAAATCAACTAACCGAAAGTGCATTTAACTAATGCAGATAGACTTCAGAAGCTTTATCTGTTCAGATGAGTTTACTATTACGATAACATTTACTAGTTAGAATAACATAAATATTCTTACTTATAAAATATTTTATTATTTGACAGTGTTGATTTTGTAAAGCAGTATCAATCAGACTGCCGAAAAAAAAAACGTTCACATTATATAATTTGTTATCATTAGAAAATTTCGAATGATTTGAATTTTTGCCTGTTGTATTTCATAGAGATGGTGCTCAGCTGTTTAAAAATTATTTGATTATTAGTTTTGGATTTTGCAGGAAAATATACACGAATCTGTAATAGAGGGTGGAATATCCACCCAAGCTGCAGCAATAATATAATTGTTTCTCAATTCAAATATGATGACCACTATTTTCATGAACTTCTTACTTATTGATTCAAAAGATTTCTCCTCTAATTGAAAAGATAATCTATTAAAATATTCATTAAGCTATTTTAATTACTTAGGAACTTTCAAACACTTGTTGAACGCTTGTTGTTGTTGTTATTGTTATTGAAATAGTCATTGAATTAGTTTTTTACATCAGAATAGAGTTAGGAAATGAATTATTCACTCCTTCTAGTAATCAAACTATAATTCGCTTATGTTCATTCTACCGAAACGAAATTATTTATATAACAAATAAATATTATCTATTGATGAATTTGGTTTCACTGAATTTATTAGCAAATCATTGTTATGATTCATTATTCAATAATATAATACGGATATTTAAATTAATAACTTTATAAGAACAATTTTAACTGTAACCTGTTCAGTTATTCAAAATTATTCAAAAATTAAATCACAGAACTAATGAAGTTGTTGTGATTTAATTATCAAAAGGTGACTAATTTAATGCAAATTATTTCGAACCCTTATTTAAGTCTCTTAGAAAAGTGATTCAACGTATCAATATTATCTAGAATGTACAAGTATTTACATGTATTCACTATTTGCCTAGTCGATCTGGAAATTACCGATATACCTGGTCCAAGTAAAAATATTTACATTATACAGTTCTACGTAGTGAGTTGTTTCGCAATAATCTACTGATCAATCTCAATTAATGTTCAACAAACAGTAATGAAAATGAATGGTTTACTGCTAATTCTATTGTCTTATCAGGTTAAACACTTACAAACTAAATGATTATTTTATTAGCGTACACCTGACGGTTGGATTAATTTATATACTTTATAACTTAACTTAATGTAAATGGAACAATTTAATTAGTCAGTTTCTCTTCCCAACAACTGAGTATGATATAGGAACACAAAACATTTCGTTAATGTATAGGAAAGAAGGCATTAATCCTATAGAACAAAGATCTAATATTTTTCCTATTGAACATAATAAATTTATTTAGTTAATTGCGTTTTTTTTTGTTGATTAAGTATTTTTGTTAAATGAAACTCCATCTATATACATTACGACTAAGTCATTGTAAACATGAGTAACATAACTGAAAACCATTCACATAATAATATGTTGACTGACTGGTATATTTTCATTGACTCAATGATAATATCTAGTAAAAGTCATTGAATTTGTTTTGAAATTCTCATTTTGTACTGACGTATTGTATCGTATATTGATGTTTTATTTCTATATGTCTGTCTCATGACATTTAAAACGGAAACTCGCATCAGCAAACAATAAAATATCATTAATCACTGATGAATTATCCTAAATTACCCATGAAATAAAAATATGCAAAATTGACATGATCAATTCCTGTTTCTTTTTACTTCTAATAAAATTTTAATGTAATCAGTACAATTTTCAGTATAACAAACATATTTCTGTCTAAACATCGTTTAATCAAACGATTTTTACTGTGCCCGGACATTGTTGAAAACAAGAATGGAATTGCATGGGCTGAATGCAATTTTTCATCTTAATTTGATATAACAACATTTATAAAGACAGACTTAGATGAATTGAGAAAATTATTCAAATAAGATTGAGATATTTCAACACTATGCTACACATTTTAAATGGTGCTTCAAAATAATGTAGAGAAGTACGGCTTAACTTGATTAGTTCAAAAAATATAATGATTTTTTTGGTTGAAAATGTAATAATTCGTAAGATGAAACTTTTATCAGATTTGTAAGAACAAACTTTTTGAGTGAAGGTTACTTTAAAAGTTCGATAACATGTTGTACGTGACTAAATTTTAAAACATTTGCCAGTAGAGTCTTCATTTAGAAGTGGTCAGTTAAATTAAGATGCATCTTTTGACTTTACTGAGAAATGTTAATGATCAATCACATATTGAACAATAAATATTACTATCCGTCTATTGATAATAGAAATCTATTGAGCATAACAATATTTAGCATTGTTCATAGTAGCTTCATTCAATTCCGTTCCCACACAAATATAAGAAATCTCAACATGAAATTAGTGACAGTACTCAAATTTGATATTAAAAAATCTAACACCTACGATAAAGTGACGTTACCAAGCAAGTAAATTTTTTGCAAGCTAAATATTTCATTATTAAACACAACAGGAAATGTGTAAAAATAAGGCTGCTTAAAATGTTTAGATTTAATTGTGAACATCATAACATCAGTACATAACGGTTTATATATAATTTTTACAATTATATAATAAAGTAATCCCCTTTCCGAATTTGAAATTCATAAATCGCACTATTACATTAATCGCTCGATCAGTTTTAGTCAGGTAAACGTTAAAAACTTTTACGTAGTCGTTAAAAGCTAAATAAAAAAGAATATTTACTTTGATTGACTTGCTTTTATCTCTTAGCATCAAAAGTACGTGGTCTTACGCAATAATGTGTAATCTGCAACAATAAAGAAATGAATGTTTAAACACTTGTCATTACTGAACAAACTAGATTTTTATTCATTGTAGGAAGATTGTATAATTTACTCCAGTGTATGTTTATCAAAAAACTTTGCTTCCAGCTTTTTTTAATTTAAATTTTAACAGTTCTTTACTATCACTAATCCGATTGAATGTTAGATATAGACAGAGTTCTTGATATTTTGTTCATGTATACTTTGGATTGGTATCACCGAATTAAAAAGGTGTTCAACATAATTGATTTGTGAATACTCCATGGATCTTTATCAACCAATTTCTCAAACTTCTTTGAAGTTAAAAATGCTTGTTCTCATTGATGTACGTGATTTCATCAAAAGTTTCTGAAGGGAACTTTTGAACTCAGTGAAAACAAGCATGAAACGACAACACTATTTACAGATCTTTATTACGAAAGTTACTACTTTACAAACATTGTTGAATATTGATTACTTTGATAAGAAACCATCTATTCTCAAACAATATCTACTCAACTTTATTGACTTCATTAAACATCAGAAAAACTTTGAGTTCTATTTTCCTATGCCATGCTATCGTTTCACTATTCACATAAATACATTGAGAAAAATAAATAATCACAAGTATGGTAAAGTCAGAAAATAATTTGCAAACAATAAACCTTTATTTACTTATAACTAATTCTGATCATCAATAATTATAGATCCCTTCTAAACAAATCACTTACTTTGGTAATAATTTTAAAATTTTCAGTGGAATCTATTCCTCAAGTTACTGTTTGTTTGACAAAACCAAAATTTTATTTATGTTTTGTTCAAATTTCATTTGTTTAATTACTGAGTAGGTTTCATATTAAAAACTATATGAATGAACACTTTCGTTTTTATTTGATTAATTTTATGAAGGGATAATCTGATTGGTTAATTTCCAGGTAACTGAAATCACTTTAGTCGAGAAGTAAACTTTGAGTCAAGTGGGCGATGAAAAGATTGTATAAATAGTTAAGTGAACTAATTAGAACAGAGAATTAAATATCTCTCCTACACATAAGTTTAATAAATGCATTTTGCAAAACCTCTATGCTTTTACATTAATTATCACACTGTTCACAGGGTATCTAAGCACCACGTATAATTTGTTTAAAAATTATGTTATACTTGGCTTAGATGTCATTACTATCTTTCAATTTTTAGACAGATTTATTTGAAATTTAACTATTTTGTATCTTTTTATACAGTTTATGAATGACAATCGTTTCGTTTCACATCAGATGCTGATATGCTTCAGTTCCGTATAATTTAAAAAACTAAATTTGATTAAATATACGTGGTTTTTACATCATTGAAAATATCAGTTGAATGGATTCAACAGTGATAAAGCAGAAGCTGAAAATTTTTCTTTAAATTCTCAGGATATTCAATGTTCGGTGTTTTGAATACCAGAATATTATATACGTACTTCTCCATACTCAAATTCAGATAGCTTAACAGTACGAACTATACAATAACCGAGTTCGATATTCAACAAGTTACTCCAGCTATATAACGCCTTACCGAACAGCTCATCCTTACAGCATTTCCTAGTGTTTATCGGGTGATACTACTTTACTTGTATGTGGTAAACATTATTTTTTGTCAAGTCACTAATACATAGTATTAATCTCAGGAGCGAAACACTTACCCTAATAAAACAGTTTTGTGTTTAATGTACAGAACATAAAAATAAGAATCTCATATTAACCGTATCTAGACAGTTGACCGCATACATTTACATGAGATAATGGATAATGAGAGTAATAGGATGAAATAACTTCAGAAAACTTATTGGTGCTTTTTGAATGTCTAAACAAGTGAATATACCTTAAGAATAATAAGATTAGTTGGGAATAATATACAACCTGTTTTGATAACTTCACTACTGTAAACTGAAGAAGAGAAGAATATAATTTATCATAATGCCATGTAAATAGGGAGATTAATGACATTGGAGGTAACTGCAAGAGGATTTATTAATTTTTAACTAATTAACATATATCTTTCTCTAGACACAGATCATAATGACAATTAGTAATAATAATGGTATGTATCATAGTGTACCTCATTTTTAGAAAACTAATGAATAATTAATTGTACAAGACAGTGTAATGTATTACTAAAGAAAAATAGACTAACATTAAATTAATTTACTCAATAAATAAAACAATGAATATAATTAATATTGTTACAATATCTGAAGCATATCATTAGAGCATAGTTAAATTAGGTATTCCTGATTTTGAATGAACACTATAAATTTAAACTTTATGGAAAAGCTTGGACCAGAGTGCCAAACAAAAGGTTGGATTTATTTAAATTTCACTATCTGAGACTCAAAAATATAATTTTTCTCGCTAATGTCTTTTTACTTTAACTTCGCGCCCCACTGCTGTGAAAGTGTTTGTTCAAATTTAAATGAAAGTTCTTATAAATAATAAATTAAGGTTTGAAATATACTAAAGTAAATTTAATATTCACCAGGTTCTAACTATTTAGTACATACTTTGTCTAGTTTTAAAACGTTATAGATAATGGCAAATAATAATTCTGACTAAATTCTCATAAACTATGAAGCAGATTCGCTGTACAATATTACAACCAAATAAAATGTCAAAGTGATTTTTGTGCCATCTATTGTTATATTTTGTGTTACAGAACAGAAAATGTTGACTTTATTAGACACCATACTGCTAAATCCCACTCTCACTCAGTCTGTAATTAAGTAATATTTCTGAAACCACAACGATCTGAGAAATATCATCTTACATGAAAGTACGGTTAATGGTTCACTTTTTTTCTGATAATTTTGATTTCAGTTGAGATGAATTTTATCACCATAAAAAATATAAACTTCGTAATCGTGCTTTATTCTAATCTAAATGTTTTTAGTTTCAATTGAGTTATGGCTCACAGTAGTATGCAGAAGGCATATACCGTCCTATTTTGTAATCATCAGCTTAATGCATCTGGATCTCAGTGATACTCTCCACACCTTTCACTGGAAACACTGAAGCTATATTCCTTGAGCTATAATGTTCTGACAAGCAGTTATACAAAAATTTGTTGGAAAATAGTCATTTTTCCTCAAAAACAACTGAGCTTTAGTACACAGTTTTCACTTTTATGGTAACTCAGTCCAAAACATTTGGACTATACAACTTATAAAAAATTAAAATTAAAAAGGATTTCTTTATATCAAAGATCTCAAATTTACTAACTACTATAAATGTATAGTTCAACAAGTTTTACCTTAGTTCTTAGCGTTTTTGTGACTGATGAAGTAAAAGTGATCTTCACAAAGTTTTCATCACTTGCTAACAAGTGAATGATAACTTGATTTTTTGCTTCATTAAATTATTTTCACCAACATTTCCTTAAATATTACATTTCACAGACACAAACATTGACATTTTATGAGGAACCATATAAATTGACACATTGTTATACTGTATATATAAGAAATTCTGCAATACAGTTTTCACTAATCTGTATTTTTCCCTACATTGTACACTTGATTTCAAAATTTTATATAACTTACTTACGCCTATAACCAGTAATGGAAAACAAGCTAACGATCAGCATTCACCAACCAACTCCTTTCCAATTCCAACGAATTCCTATTCATTTTTCATTTCTGTCTCCAGAACCGACTCACTGTGTTCCTCTCAGTACCTTTGATCTTGAGGGTACCAAGTTAGGGCCTGCCTCGTGATGTAGTTGAGGGACTTCCGGAATGTGTGTCCTATCCAACTCCAGAGCTTTTGCATTATTTCTTCCTCATCTGGAATTTGGTTTAATCTATGCCACAGTCAGTTTTTGCTTATACTTTCCGGCTAACTGAACCTCCGTATCTTTCGTAGAAAACTGTTAACAAACACCTGTATCTTTTGGATAATGGCTTTTGTGGGTCACAGTGTTTCTGCTCCATACGAAAGAACTATCTTGACGTTCATATTAAAAACTCTGACTTATTGTTGGTTGACAGCTGTTCAGAGTTCCAGATATTCTTCATTTGTAGAAATACTTCCCTTGATTTACCAGTCCATGTTTTTATATCTGCATCAGATCTACCTTATTTATCATGTATAGGTTTTAACATCTTCTAAAGCTTCTCCGTCAAATGTGATTTGGTTGGTGGATTTTGTTGCGTCGGAGGATCTTGAATTTTCCTTGTGTTTGTTGAAGCCTACTGCTTTAGAGGTTGCCGCCATAATGATTGTTGTTTATGGGATGAAAGAGCTAGACCATCTGCGAAATCCAGGTCGTCTAGCTTCATGGAGGCTGCCCGTTTTATCCCGTGCTTCCCCTAAGATGTTGACGTCTTCATAACCCAGTTGACCACCATGAGAAGGAGAAAGGACAAGAGTAAGCAACTTTGCCTAACACCGGTCTTCATTTAGAACGAGTCCGTTAGTTGCCCTCTATACACGATATTGTAATATATTTAATCATAAAAATTCCTTATGATGTTGACTATCATCTCAGGCACGCCGTAGTGTCGGAGAAACCTCCACGATATTGAGAGTGATGCCTCTAAAGTTCCTACACTTGCTCAAATCTCCTTTCTTTGGTATTTTGATGAAGCGTTCTTCTTTCCAGTCTGTCGGCGCTTGTTCTCACTCCAAAATCTTGTTGAACAGAGCATGAGACATCTTTGTAGTTACTGCTTTGTCTGCTTTCGGTGCCTCAGCTGGTATACTATCTGGCTCTATTACATCGTAGCTCCTGTTTTTTGGATAGCCACATTGATTTCTTCGATTACTGATGGATTAACATCAATTAGAAGATCCATAAGTGCTACTTAGATATTGGGTGGGTTCAATGAGACTGGTCGATTCAAGAGTTCTTCAAAGTGCTCTATCAACCTGTACTTGAATATCAGTGATTGCTTTTCCTCCATTGTTCTTTACTAGTCGTTCTGGTTCATGATATTTTCCAGCAAGCTTATTCATTGTTATGCACAGTTGTCTCATCTTACCGTCTCTTAATGCTTTCTTCGCCATCATTGCTAGATTATCAGCGTATTTACGTTGACCCTCTCTAGTGCTTCTCTTCATGTACTTCTTTGCCTCTATATATTCAGCCTTTGTCTTGGTTTTTTCTGCCGTTGTAAGACTGTCATTGATTGTTATCTTATAGTCCTTTTTAGAATCTTGCTAACAGTTTCAACAGAAATCCATTCCTTATGAAGGTACTTCTTGCAGTCCTAAACCTCCTGACATCATGAAGTTAATGTTTATTTAACACCTTTCTACTTGTTCCTCATTGTAGTTTCGTCATCATCAAATAAATCATAGAAGAGTTGGAACTTGTGGTTCCGAACTTTCTTGAAAGGCCATATCAAACTTCCGTAGTACAAATCGCCCCGTTTTCCATTGCCTTTTCATTTTCATCTTGACCACCATCAAATGGTGACGTGCAGTTGTCAGCTCCCCTTTAGAGTCCTCCATAGTCCTTCCGAATTTTTATTCATGTAGGCGTAATCGATTTGTTTCTCCGTAGTCTGATTCGATTATATGATCCCACATCCAGTTTTATTCATTCCAACCTTGTCATTTAGGTTTCTCAGCAGTATGGTCAAATCCTTTGCTGGGCATTTCTCGATGATGGGCTGCAGCTTCCCATAGAATTGATCTTTATCGTCTTCATTGTGCTTTCGGTGGGCGCATAGCACTGAATGGCACTCATCATAACTCCCTCTTTCCTTGTTTTGTAGGATGCTTTGATAACCCTGTGTCCATCAGATTTCCATCCTGTCAGTACCTTTATTGCTTTTGTGGACAGCATCAGCACAACTGCTTGTGTTCGTGTATGAGTCATTTTCTCCCTCATGGCCCAAATATAATAGCACCTCTGCTGAGGCTAAGCTTTTACGTCCAGTTTGAGTTTCACATTTTTCCAAGAACCACCAGGTTGTATCCTTTTCATTACCTCAACAACTTGAATGGTTCTCTCAGTCTCCTACATTCTGAGAATATTCCATGTATCTATATTAATTGTTGCTTTAGTTATCAGAAGGGGTATTGGACTGGTGACTTCTGTAGAAACTTGGTGTTCATCACGAGATATCCTAACTCTTCTAAAGGAAGAACTTACAACCCTCAGGGCAGAGTTTAAATGGTTTAAATTATTCTTTCTAGTTAGCGTCTTTTTAGCAGGTCGGTTTTCTGCGAAATGGGACAGCCAACCCGATGTCTAATCCTCTTTCTTTATCCAGGTTTCGGAAAATCAGTAACGGTAGAAGGGCTCCAGGTGCGTTCGTAACTCAGCGATTAGAGCTCCATTGAACGTTTTATGTAACTATTATGTATTTTTCATTTAATAACGTGACAATCTGTTCTTATGTATTCTGATAAAAAATCACAGTACTTCTCTACATAAACAACACTAATAATAAATATTTGAAATGTTCTAAATTTCACCACATTATAAGCAGGTCTCTCTGTAAGTTTAAGTAACCGTCGTGCACTTTCTCTCTTATAGTTTGTGACTTTTTGTACACTTCCTCATAAAGTTTTTGTACCAGTGAC